GGGGGGGGTGTGCGCTTGCGCACTGGTACCCAGCCCGCTCGTGGCCCCTCCGGCTTGCCGTTCTTTCCCGGCATGCCGAGCGGGTGGGCGTGGCCGAAGCGGAGCCGCCGTCGGGTTGTGGAGGCGCGATGGCGGCCGCGTCTGCGAGCTCGGATATGTTTGATGAGATCGTGATGGCTGAGGAGAGGTGGGCTTGGTGGGAGAGCCTTGACTAGGGCCTGGGGACCTCGGGGGGCAGGCGGGGCCGGAGCGGGACTCCGCGCTAGCCGCGGGTAACCGTCGGCTTAGAGGGAGGGAGGGAGGGAGGGGAGCCCCGGGGCCTGGGCCTGGGCCTCGGCCTCGGCCTCGGCCTCCACAGTAGGAGCTGAGAAGAAAAAAGTGAGGGGTGAAGGGCTGGTAATGAGCCCGGGGAGGGGGCGAGGAGGGAGAAGGGCGGGGGAAATTCTCCTCTTTGCTCTTGCTGAGCGACCGACCTGCTCGATTTCGGCTCTTCCACCATGTGGAAGCTTGACCCGGAGTTGTGAGCTTGTAGTTAGTGGTGTTATTCTGGTGAAAGCACTGAGCTGGATTGCAGAGTGTGTTGTTCTTGGCAAGTTGTTGTAAACTTGTTTGAAAAGATTGCAGTGTTCGTAATTGTATCTTAATTTAAATCAATGTCATGGAATTTCTAAACATGAACAGTTGTATTTCAGAGATGATATGGCATGTTTTTGTTTCTATGAATTGCTTGTGTGCAGCGTGAGTTTGATATGAGATGAAAATAGGTGCTAAAAATTATATTTCTGTCTTCACAGGTTTCATGGTGAGGGGTATCAGGAGGGATATGCTGAAGGCAGTCACCTTGGAGTTGTTGAGGGAAGAAGGTATGGATCGCTCCATGGTGCCAAGATGGGGTCTGAGGTAAATGGGAAAAATACTCAGAATCACAATGTTTTTGTCATTAGAAAATTGTTGTAATACAGAAACTGTTGGGCAAAGCCCGATATATTGGTAGTCTGAGGCCTGCTGCGTTATATTGCTTTGTGTGTGTCCAAGAGGGCCCGTAAAACTAGTTTAAGGGTGGTGTTTTGATTTGAACAGTAGAATAGATGGTTTGGTGGTTTTTGAGCTTATTTGTTCTGTGAGATTTTGGTTAATTTTTTTCTGAAAGGAAGGATAAGAGGAGACAAAAATCAAACAGCTTGCTCAGAAAAAAAAAAAGATGATGGACTTTGTATTTATTTTTATAACCCAGAATTGTGGCTAAAGGCCCCCTGTACCATCTCCTGTGGCTCAGCATTAGGGAGAAACATGGGATGTTGAGACACCTTGGGTGGAGAACCTGAAAGGGGTAATTCTGGGTGTCTCTGTTGCACCCTTTGTTATTTCTAATACTGGGAGAGTTTGTTGGCTGAGGCACAATTATTCTTTAGTGGATGGAGTCAGTTCTGTATATTGCCACACAACGGCATGCCTGAATCAATAAGCTTTTCTGGAAATAAAAGGACCAGAGGGTGGTGGTGAGGCACCTTGACTTGTCGCATATGTCCAGCTCAAGTTTATCATAACGTGGAATGTGTTCAGTGCTGTACGATGTAGTTACAGTATTTTTGGACCCGAACTGGATTTTTTCAACTTTGATGGGAAGTTGTACTACAGGACTCATGGCAGGCCTTCTTTCAAGTACAGCACCACAAATCTAAACCTGTTCGATCTGTTGAAGACCTGTAGGTAATTTGGCAATTTGTCCTTTTGATATTTTCAGGTTTCAGAAAGTTAGTTACTACAGAAAGAACAGTAGCAATGCCATTAATCCATTTTGAAGTGAAAAAGGTGAACTGTCAAATTCTTAAAACATGGTTATTGTAAAATTTTGGTTTGCATTTAGGTGTGATGCAGAGATCTACAGTGGGGAAATATTTTCCTACTTATACTACAGCTGTGTAGTTCCAAGGTGAGAATGTTAAACAGCAGCCTCCAAAGCCGGATAGTTTTATACAAGATGGTCCTAGAGAGACCATAATAGAGAAGTGCTCTAATTTACTTACACTGGGGAAGCTGCAGAGGAAAGTAGAATTGTAGACACCGAGTCATGTTAAATGAGAGAAAGAGTGACTTGGGTAATCTTAGGCATGTCATCCTATTTTGTGTCTTGGGCAAAATTATGATCCTGATCTCATACTGGCCTTGCTTGATAGAGAATTAAAGTAAGATGTTATAATTAAAGTGTGTCTGTTTTCAGGCACATTCCTCAGGCAGGCTTAGACACAGTATTTGCCTGGGCTCAGGCAGAAGATGGGCACTGCGCTCCTGTGGTAGGAGAGTGCTGTACTGGGTTTGCATGGCAAGGTTTTGGTAGCGGGGGGGCTACAGGGGTGGCTTCTATAAGAAGCTGCTAGAAGCTTCCCCTGTGTCTGACAGAGCCAATGCCAGCTGGTTCCAAGACGGACCCGCTGCTGGCCAAGGCCAAGCCCATCAGCAATGGTGGTAGCACCTCGGGATAACATATTGAAGAAGGGTAAAAAAAGTTGCAGCGGCACGGAAACTGCAGCCAGAGAGAGGAGTGAGAACATGCAAGAGAAACAGCCCTGCAGACCCCCAGGTCAGTGAAGAAAAAGGGGGAGGAGGTGCTCCAGGCACCGGAGCAGAGATTCCCCTGCAGCCCGTGGGGAAGACCATGGTGAGGCAGGCTGTCCCCCTGCAGCTCAGGGAGGTCCACGGTGGAGCAGATCTCCACCTGCAGCCCAGGGAGGACCCCACGCCAGAGCAGGGGGATGCCCAAAGGAAGCTGGGACCCCGTGGGAAGCCCACGCTGGAGCAGGCTCCTGGAAGGACCTGCGGCCCCGTGGAGAGAGGAGCCCAGGCTGGAGCAGGTTTGCTGGCAGGACTCATGACCCTGTGGGGGACCCACACTGAAGCAGTCTGTGCCTGAAGAACTGCAGCCCATGGGAAGGACCCATGTTGGAGAAGTTTGTGGAGGACTGTCTCCTGTGGGAGGGACCCCACACTGGAGCAGGAGAAGAGTGTGAGGAGTCCTGCCCCTGTGGAGGAAGGAGCAGCAGAGACAAGGTGTGATGAACTGACCCCAATCCCCATTCCCTGTCCCCCTGTGTGGCTGGGGTGTAGGAGGTAGAGAATTCGGGAGCAAAGCTGTGCCCGGGAAGAAGAGAGGTGGGGAGGGGAAGATGTTTTAAGATTTGGTTTTATTTCTCATTACCCTACTCCAGTTGATCGGTAATACATTTAAGTTAATTTTCCCCAAGTCAAGTCTGTTTTGCCCATGATGGTAATTAGTGAGTGATCTCTCCCTGTCCTTATCTTGACTCATGAACCTTTCATTATATTTTCTCTCTCTTGTCCAGCTGAGGGTGAGAGTGATAGAGTGGCTTTGGAGGGCACCTGGTGTCCAGCCAGGGTCAACCCACCACAAGTGCTAATTAAGCTGAGAAGTCTGTGGCCAAGTGTCATGGGGCAGTTTGGGGGCATGCAAATTAAATTTCTGTCGAAGCAAAATTAACTGGAAGCCGCACTGCAAATATTTTTGGGCACTTAATGGGATGTTCAGTCCCAAACCCATGTTTGGGCCTTAAGAAGAACCTCCACTGTGTACCTTAACAAACATAATTAACAGAAGACTGGAACTACCAAACACTCCCACTTTAATCTGAAGCGGTTTGCAGGCCACAGGAGTTTACAAGTCCGACAATGTTTTGTAAGTTTAAATGGCAGGTGTATGTACATGCACATGTATGGACCAGAGCGGGATCAGGCTGTAATTTTGGATTTAATTTCTCAAAGTCAGCTAACTTTTGTTTCAGGTGTCTGCATTGTTTTTCTGTGAATACTAAGTCACTTTTGAAAGGGACTCCAGCTGACTTAGCCCATTCATGCATTGAACTTATCTATATTCCTATTTCATTTGGTGTCCAAAATTGCAATGAAAAGTTTTGGCAGCAAGGTTAGCTTAGTCAGCTCCTCGTGTGTCTTTCTGATTCCGTGCTACCCTCCCAAGTTAGGCTGATTAAATTGTTTGCGTATTAACTCAGAAAAGTGTCGTTTCCTCATTGGTTGACTTGGTAGCTCCCTCAGTCCAGCTGGTACACCTTTTTGTAGGGCTGTACGTGGGCTGCTTAAACTGACAGTGCTGCAAAAATGAGTACTTACCAAAACATCTTAAATAGGTTGTTTTCTAACTGTCTTCCTACAACCACACTTCAATAAATTTGGGGATTCAAAGCATATAAAGTATGGCTACTGTTTTGCTTGCTTTTTATGCTACATTTTAAATACTTTGTCCTCTGATGCTAAACAGATTCTTAAAAGAAGTTTTCTAACTCTTGTACTGTGTAACACAGCCCTCATTTATCCTACCCTAATTTACTGAACTTCCCAGCCTAGAAACCTATTTGTATATCCAGTGATTTGTTTCCTGAAGAATGGGATACAATGTAGTGCTTTATTTTTGTTTGACTATATATGCTACATGTATTTTTTTTTGCCCTCATGACATTCTTACAAATTCACAGATTGGCTGCTACCTTGGGTTTGCGCTGACGTGGCAGTGTCTGCTCCAGAAATGCACAGATGAAAAGAACAGGTATGGTTAAAAAAAAGTTACTGATTCTTTAATACTGTTTCAAATTATGGTGTCCAGTTTTGCCTCTTCCCCAATACAAAAGAAATACTGAAAAACAGTTTTCAGCCTGGAGGAGAGAAGACAAGGGAGATACGTAGTTGTACCACGTAAGGGGCAGTTCTAGATAAGGTGGAGACAGTGAAAGGACAATAGGCAACTTTCACAGTTTGAAACAAGGTAAGTTCTAATGGGGCATAAGGAGAATGTCCTTTCCAGTGCAAGCAGCTAAGTGCTGGGACAAGTTGTCCAGAGAGACTGTAGAAGCTCCATCTTTGTAGATTTTCAAAATCTGGCTGGAGATGGCCCTGAGCAACCTTGTCTAGCTTTGAAGTTAATCCAGCTTCTGCAGAAGGTGGACTAGATGACCTCCAGCTGTCCCTTCCAGCCTACATTTTTTTATGACTTTCGTTCTTTTCTCCATCATTTTTTTTCTGTCCAGTTTTGATTAATTTATCTGACAGAATTGCCACCATCCTGTCAGCATTTTGATATGTGTTCTGGTGAGCTTTTTTTATTGCATTTCTTTATTTCGCTCAGTCATCTAATCAATATTTCTGAAGATTCTTGAATATTTCTCCACTTTTGGCAGGTAAGTTAAAAGCAGTTGTGCTACAGCTTGATTTCCGATTATGGCTTAAATATGTATCAAAGCACTCTCAGTGAGCTAAATGGGCAAAGCTGAATTCAAGAAGAATGGAGGGCTGGGTTCTACACTCTGAATTATTATATATAAGTATTGGTATAATTTTCATATTGGTGGATTAAAAAAACTTCTGTAGTAAGCTCATTGGTGGTTCTGTTTTGATTTGATTTTTTTTTTTTTTTTTGGTAGCAAAAAGAGAAGGGCTCTGGATTCATTAATAGGGATGATTCAGAAATTCCCATATGAAGACCCTACTTACGATAAGCTGCAAGAAGATCTGGAAAAAATCAGAGGAAAATTTAAACAGGTTTGTAGGATTAAGTTGTTATTGTAGCACAAAATGGTATTAATTTCTGAAAATATTTAGTCTCTTAACTTGCTCAAAAATACAGTATTTGTGCAGGGTAATTACTGTTCTCCTCTTGCAATCGTAGTAAAAATACTTCAAGTGAATTAAGTGAAGATACTCGATAGTTGAAAATTCCCCAACTGATAGCAAATGCAAAATAAAAGTAAAATATTCTTTAAATGAAAATTGAAAATATTACTTGACAATGAATTACAAGTGGGACCAGACGAGAAATAGAGGAATTGGGAGTTTTGTTGAACATTATTCTTGGAAAATAGATGCTTTGAAACACTTTTGTGTATTCTTTTTTAGGTTTGTTCAATGCTAAATATTCAGTCCGATTTTAGAATCGGTACTGAAAGATCTTCACTAACATTTTGAATATAACAGATGAAGATAAACATGGATGACCAAAGAAGAAACATTAAGAGAACAGATAACTGGAAAAGTGTTTATCTACTCTTACCTTAAACAAAATCAAAATAGTGAAGAGGTGCTAAATATTAAAGGGGAAAGGGAAAACCATTGAATTGCAGTAGGACTTCTCATATGTCATTTAACATTTATTATCTCCAGGTTTTATTCAGGATCACTGAAACAGCTTACAGTGTGTAAACCTGTTAAATAGATATATTTTCTTTAATTCCTCACTAGCCTTGCACTGATAGATTAATTCCTCAAAAGGAGAACATGCATTTGCAAAGTTTCCTTATTTAAAGGGTGTATGTTACTTAAAAATCTGTGTATGCAGATCATTCAGTTTACACAATGTGTAGATATTGTAGGTGAAGTAAAATATAATCAGTTGCCTGCAGACTTTGTAGTAAGAAGCATTTTTGTGCATAAATAATAGAATGACAAATGAAGTCAGAATGCGAAGGAGAAAGATTAAGATACCTGCTCATAAAGTAGCTGCAGCTTAGAACATGAAATTTGCACTTTCTGTGAGTTCTGCAGACTGATGCAGTGTGGGGAAAAAACCCCCACCAAACCCCCCAAAACCCAAACCCCAAAAGCTAGCAATTTAAGGGATCAATGAGAGAAATGTGACTACTAGAGGAGTTGTGATACTGATACTAGTATTTACTAGTACCTTTTATTGAGGAATCGCTTTTTATTTTCTAGTCTTGAAAATATACTGTTTAGTCTTATTCAGAAAAAATGGATGCTGTCAGCTAAAAGTGTTCAACTATATTAGTTTCAGCGAAATACATACAGTCAGTTATTTTACCTGAAAAATGTTTTAGGTTGGGCTGCTAGATCTCTTTGCATACCATTTGCAATACAGTTATATAATGAATATATACTTTCATCAGTTGTAAAGTATGCATGTCTGGCTAAGTTTACATGGCATAGTGTAGCTTCATAAAAACAGATTTGACTACCGTGGGTATCGGAAGCTGTACGCAGGGTAAACTATCTCAGGTGAAGGACATGTTTTAATATGGCCATATCCTTGAACAGCACTGCTTTGTGCTGCCTAGACCATGTGCCTATGTATCAATTTATTTCAAAATAATCTTTTACTTTTTGTCTGTTTCCTGAGTATGCAAGTATGCCAGTGGCAAAGGCTTTTCTTAATAACTGGTTGCTGGTGTACGTTTTTGTTTGTTTAATTGTCTTACGTGTGTAAGTGTTCAAACAGCTTTGATACATATAGTGAGTGTCAGGGCCATCTAGTGGAGGAGGTCGTTGTATTGTGTAAGAAATAGATTATAGGAGTTCACAAATATTTATATAGATAGAAGTTGTTAAAATCGAGAGTACAAAATGTATGTACACCAGATAGGGCTCTTCTAATTATGTGGTGAATTTCTTTGAAAGAAAGTAAAATTGAGGTAGGATTCATTTGTAGCTTGTTTCCTCATTGGAGACCTTGGAAGGGACACGACAGCGTTGATGGTCTCTTCATTTAGAGTTTGAGTACAGCGAGCTTTTGACTGTAACACAGCTAATCCACTGGGACCCAGAACAGCACCAAACTGCAAGTACCTGAAAATAGAAGCAAAATAAAATAGCATGCCCTGTAATCTCAGTAAATAGGTAGGCACAAACCAAAAAGATCACATACTAGAGAAAAGAAAGCTAATTGGAGTTTATAATCACTTCAGAGAAATTCAAATTTGAAAAAATTGTCTCTGCATCTGCAAACCAGTTTATTTTTGCTAATCAAAGTATTTTACCTGTTTACTTCAAATTAGTGAAAGCTACTAGGTAATCATCTGTGATTAACTTTGAAAATATTTTTTGTTGAAATCCATTAATTATGCTTTAAATAAACTCCCCCTGGATCTTGGTCTAAAAAAGGCAGTTTTGTTGTTCTTCTGAATGATAGTACAAAAAGAAGTAAACGCTGGAAGTCTTAAGTATTCATGTTTTAAAATGCAGCCTTTTTTGGAATCTTTGTACATGGTTTACAAAAATGTATGTAAAAGCAAGGGAAGGGATGTGAGAGCTCAGAGAATCTGTGAAGCATTTGATTCATAGAAGTGTATGATATATAAGTTATATGCAAAGTGCTACTCTAGAGGTTGTATCAAAACCAAAATTATTTTTGTTCGACTAAGGAGAGAAAGGATCTTTGCAGATCAAGCGGTCAGTGACTGTTATTTTGAAAATTGGTTTGGTGGCTAATTTTCTTGTATTGCTTTAATTTTATTTATAACAAATTTATATTTATAGGATAATTTATTCTAATAATATGTATATACACATATTTAACTATAAAGATTGTAGCAACCAGTATTTCAAACTGGGATATGCCAGGTTTAGGGTTGCCTGTTAGGTCTTTAATTTAGCTCCAAATGTGTGTACATACTGATGGAGTCTCTTATTCCACAAGTCTGTATTTTTCTGAATATCTTCTGTTTCATGTCTTGTATGGGCCTAATGGTGTTTATTAAATGAGGTATGGTTAAAAATTCTGTTGGATATGTAGTCGTATACTTTCTTCGGTGCCAATTTTTTAAACTGTTTTCTGCAACAGAGCTGTGGGTTTTTCTGTGATGTTTGGGGCTATAACAGTGGAGTCTTCACAGCATACTGTATCAGTATTTTTATACCTTTATTTGCAGCTAAGGAGTTAAAGCCCAGGTTACATCAAGAATACTGATTTGCCTTAACCGATTTGAGATGTCTAATGTGACTCGTTACAAATAATTTTGCATTTTGAGTACTTAAATACTTCAGAATGTGCCAACATAAAGAGTGGTTGAGGACCTAGCTTTTTTTCATGTTTGTATTTTTGCCTGTGTTTCTCAGATCAGTCACCTAGAAAATGAGGAACATTACAGTTAGCAAACACCTGTGAAAGGTGTGTGCTTAAGCCAACTAGAATGCTACTGGGGAAAAAAATCCATCAAAATTTTGAAAACCAGTATTCAGTTTTGTGAGATGGAAGCGTATGGTTTCTTTTCTTTCAACACCTTTCCTATTACGTTAACATCTTCCTAAAATCTGTAACAAATGAAAAAAAAATCTTACAAATGGCTTCGTTAGTTTCACGCCCTGCTTACTCATCCCATGTCTTGAATGGTCAGGACTCTGGTGGAAGCAAGTCTTACGCTGTAGTTAAAGACCCTATCAGAAGATCTGTGCACAGAGAGGCTGAATAAAGCTTCTGTGGACCACGGTCATTTAGACATTTCCTGGTTTGAATGCTTGACTGTGCAACTTAAGTATTGCTTTAAAGACTGGGTGGAAAAGAGATGGAAAAAAATGCAGTCTTGTAGATTATAATACTGGTTATTAATAGAGGAGGACATAGAGATTGTGGCTTTGTGCTATATCATCAAACAGGTTTGAAATTTTGCCGAAGGACTTGATCTGTTAAGAACAGTTAAGATGGAAAATTTTTGCTAGAATTACTGAAGTTGCTAAGACTTAAAAATGTATCTCTGTATTTACCACCTGCAGTTATTGCTCAGTCGTTAGGGAGGAGTGTTTGAAACATTTAATTTACAAATTTCTGACTTGCCCGGGCTGTGTTCTAGCTTGTTTTGTTTCTTCATGATCATCTCTCAGCTGAAACTGTGGAATACAGAATTTTATTAAAAGATGGATACAAAGCTAGTTACTGCTAGTGTACTGAAGTCACTGCAGTCCAGAAGATTTGTAATTTTTCTTTCTACAATATGTGATGGTACAAGAAATATTGTTGAGGCATCAGCCGAGAAAGGTAAACTCTGACTACAGTGAATTAATTCCCTGGAGAATTGCATGCTGATTCAGTGCTGTCTTAGAGCCATGGGATCATCAGCTGCTAATACCAAATCAGCCATCGCTAGAACACGTAAACCTGACTTAGTAGGTTATCTGCGTCATTGTATTACATCAGTACAGTAAAAAAAAAAAAGGGGGAGATGGAGTTTGTTAAAGCTTCCTAGTAAAATTAATGAATAAAACACTTGTTCTGTCTTCATTAAGCAGCATACTTTCTTTCCATTTGTTGTAAACTGTAATGTGAAGGGGATCAATTTCAGCTTTGAATGAACATCTGTAATCAACAGAAATGGGTGAAATAAATCAGAAAAAAATCTGGGTATGCAATTGTTCACTTAAAAATCAACCCTGTAGGAGTAGTCTGGCTCATTCAAATCCTATTAACTTTTTTCAGAAACAAGGTTACGATAATTTATGTGTGGATGTGTAAGGAAAGTCTGGCTTCCTGGTTTGGCATGCCTTGTTTGGTTATGTGACTTTTTGAACCGATTGCTATTGGGGTATGAAATATATAAGCAATAGTGTGTCCTAGTATGCACATAGAACCCATGCAAACTCATTTTGCTAGCTTTGTGGCTATATGCCATTTAGAGGGAGAAAAATGAAGACCGGTTTAAACACTCTGGTTTTGTAGGATCATTTTTGGTGAGTAAAGTACACATTTTGGTCTGTGTGTTTAGGATTTCTAGAAAGGTAGCACATTTTTATTGATTATTTTTAAATAGATTACGTTGAGA